TACACTGTTCTTCTACAAAACCCATAAGGTAAGGTCTTTTTCAGGATGGCGTGCCACCGTCGACCACTCTTCCTTTCGAAATGGTGAATTACTAAGTTGCGTGGTTCAAATCCCTCCAAGTAGATAAAAATCCCTCAAAAAGCGTTAATCAAGATCTTAAAGGGCGTGTTCACAGTATCGGCGTTCTGACGCGGACATCCGCGTCAAGGCGCTGGGGTGACGTCTGCGTCGCACTGTGAATGCGCCAATATGTATCTATTTCGCATCAATTCCTTAACAATTTCGGCTGGTCCCCCAATTTCCCGTTCGATTTTACCTCAATCAGTGATGTGTTTAAGGATATTTCGCCATTAGCCAACCTTCCACTTCTCGAGTACAAATTATGCATGCCATCTGTTGTCGATCGCGTGCATCATTCCAATTGTTTCAAGCTGGTCTACTCCACGCACGAATACTTCTTCCGCACCAATGGTTCATATTCATTTCATAGGTACGTTCACTAAAAATTCCATAACTAATTCAATACCTGAGGAAGGTAACATTCTCAATAAAATTGTTCAAATTAATTGATTATTACAGTAGCTAGAAAGAGTAACGTAAAATTCACGTTCTCCTGGAAAATCTGGAAAGAATGCATTCATTAGACGTTAACTAATCCCGCCTTTGGGATGCGCCCCGCATTCGAATTCTTCGGAAAATCGTAGTTGCGTTTTGATGCGTACATGACCTAGGTAATGACTTGCAGTGGCCAGACGGAGTATCAGTCAAAACTTTTATTCTCCCAGACGGAACAATTAGACTTTAGAGGGATGAAAGGCCTTGTGTTTGGGCGGATATTGATTCAGGATTTGATCCCCGTATCATTTGTGTAATAGTGGCGAGTGCGCCACTCGCCACTATAAAGATACAACACATACCTTGTTACTCTTCTTACTTACTTACTTCATTGAAAGAAATGACTCTGCTGACTCTGTAACCAGATATTTCAGATGGACCGAAGCTTTACGCAAAGCCGCAATCTCACAAGTAGTGCCAGACGTCGTCACCGCTCTTTCATTACGAATCTGATGCAAAACATTGCCGATTTCATATTTCACTTACATGGAATAATTCTTTTATTACCTTTTTTATCTTCTCTTTCCTATCTTCCTCTCAGCTATCGATTATATCGATTACCTGCCAAGATTTCTATCCATTCGCCAAATCAGTATCTCAAAGCCGCGTCATAAACCGTGTGTTTTTCGTGCTAATCTCAGGGTATTTCGATTGTTTCATAAGAGTCATATGAGATTGTATAAATTTATTCAAACATCATTATAAGTACAATCAGATCACATCATCAAATAAAGGGATCATGCTCTAAGGCACCACAATCAAATCACTGAGCAAAACCCAACAATTCAAACAAATAACAACTTCACTCTACAACACTAAAAAGACAAAGATGTACTCAAAAAGCAGTATTGCAACGAAATTTTCTGAGTTAAACTCTAAAATTAAAGCGAAAGAGTCGATGACGCAGTAATTTTTACAAGCTGTGAACGAGCATTACTCTTCAGGTATCGTCGAAACTTTATTGGTCCGCTCATAGAGCTCTCTATCCGTTGGTCTGATTATGCCAAACTTCTCAGCTGCTGCTAGAGCTCTTTTTGCCTGAATTTGAAAGAGCTAAGAATTGTAGACTTGATAAGTTCACTGTTTTAAGAAGCTTTGCTAACCTGTTCAGCTGCACCTTTCCTGCTTTCATTGGCAGCTCCCAGCTTGGCTATAGCAACTAGTACTCGGAATAGCTCGGACTACAAATAAACTACATTTCCATAATATGATATCGGCACTTTTTATAGAGCAACAAAATATGCAGGAAAATTTAGTTCTTGTCACTCAGTCCAGCTCCTTAGAGGGCATTTCCTATCATGATCACAAAACGAACTTTTTACTTCAGCCGCTCCGCGACCGCGCGCTTCAGTAATTCATTTACGCAGTGGTAAGGGTCAACTCGAAATTACAAGTAACGATGGCTTTAAATGAAAAGTGATGCACCCTGGGTTCCGTCAAAAATTCATCACTGTCATACATGGTAACTATTTGTGACAGAGTGAATTGTAAAAAGTGATGATAATTACAAATTAATGGGAATCTTTGAAGGATAACGAACCGCGACAACTTCTGAGCACAACTTCTCATCGCTCTCCATAATGTTGGCAATTCCAATCAGACCACGTCGTTGTGCCTGAATGTCACAATAGAGAGGAAAAGTTCCTAAAAGTAATGGTAATCAAAATTAGTTCTAATTAAAGAAACCTCACCTCGGGATCCTCATGCATAGCGATTTCTTTGAATACTTCTGGCCAGCTCTTAATCTCCTCAAATATTCGACGGTTCGCGTCCACATCCTCCGTAAGAATCGCGAATGCCGCTCCAGCCGCGCGTGCCAAGCGCTCGTTTTCTTCCGCCGCGTACAGTACCCACAACTTCAGCTTGTCTGTTCCAGGCTGGAATTACGGGAAGGATTACATAAACATTAAATTTGCATCAAAGAGCTAGCCAGCACTTCAATGGGTGCGCTGCGTTGCGTGTGTCCGTCGAAACTAGGTCACGCCGCAGCNGTCGCACGCGGCGAGTCGGCCCGCGATATTTGACAGAGGTCGCAATTGTCACAGGGGCATACGCTTTGCGTTTGGTCCACGGCAGTCAGTTCAAGAAGAAGATAACACAGACAAATGCAAATCATTTGCTCCAACGACACTTGGTGGTACTGTAATGTCATCTCGAGACCTCAGTGTGATGCGCCGCGCGCGAAGTGGGCGGGGTGACCTACTTTCGACGGACACGCGCAACGGACGTTCTCCCACTTCAATACTATCTCATACAGTCTACTGAGGAAACAACGTACATTTGCAGAAAAAAAAACAACATTTCTTTATTAGAAACAAATGTCCCCGTGACATTAAGACCGTAGTAGGAAAAAAGAAACAAGAAGATGTTCTTTACTGCTCTGTCGTACAAATTTTAATGATAAGACTGCTATTTTAATAGTCGTCTCATACAAATTGTCATCGTCGCCTTTAAGGACTTGAAAGTAGTTCGAAGCTCCTGATCACCAAATGAAGAAGATCAGGAACTTCGAGCTACTTTCAGATCAGCAAGTACGGCACTTTGTTTCAATCGTCGAAGAATTTGAGTGGTTCTATCTCCAAAAAAGCTGTATAGTGAAGCAGTATAAACACTCCGTAATATTAGCCGAATTCCAAAAGATCGAACGTGTAAGTGGAAAAGCAGAAAAAGAATTTCTTCATCCTCTTTCTTTCTCATCCGAATAAAAGGAGGAAAATTTTTGTGAACCAACTAATAAGGCTCCAAGAGAATAGCGAGAATAAATGAGAGAATAAATGAGTGTTTTTTGGCCACTCCTTACGCCACTCAGCGGATTTTATTTCAAGCTGGGGAACGCAATTAAATTTGCTTCAGATACCAAAAACAGAGTAGAAAACAAGCTTTGAGCGGATAAAATTAAAAACTGCACGACTTAAAACATACTTTAACGGTGGCTTTGAAGAACTCATCCAAGAATAGCAGATTCAGTAACAACTCAGCAGCAGCACAACGTAGATGCTCATGATCAGTCATGAACCAGAATTCTTCAATCTTTGGGACTGCCTTTTCTTTGAGAATACGACGACGGACTGAATCGCTCATACTTGCCTGAACAAATTCATCAAGAAAAGGTGTGGCTGACAGTGACTGTAACAACAGGGGAAGAATAACGGGTAACAAAGAAGTAGTCGCCATAACTCACCAGATTTGTCAGCGTTAGCAACGCATCATAATTGGGTTTTCCTTCAATATCTGGATGCAGAAGTTCACACAGAGGTTTGACCACCTGGAAGACAGTAGAGGACCAATTCAGCCTTCAGCTCAACATAGAAGACGGGAAGACGGGCACTTGGACCGGTCAGGGTCAGCAACTTGACTGCCTANAGATCAATCTCAAAGACGATCGCTACTCAATAGCATTCAGAAGCCCTTTTCACCTTTACTATATACCTATCCAATCAGGGTTCCAACTGATGCAGTTGACCTAGGCCGATCCAAATGCTCGACGCCCGCTCAACCCGTTCATCTTATAGAACTTGATCGTAATAATGCTATTAGATGTCAGTACCTCATACGCTCTTTGTCCAGGGAAAGCAATTTGTGGATCAGTCTTGGCTCCAAGTTTTGCAATTGCGTGTGCAGCTTTGATTTTTCCTTCGGCTGTTGCTTCTTTAGTTAATCGTAAACACAGTTTTGTACCACCTTCACAAATAATGCGACCTCTCAGATCCTCTTGTTCGGAGAACGCGAGCATTGCGCTAAATATGTGTGAATTTGTTAAAGTAACGGATTCGAGTACAGTTACTAGTAAGCATACCGAGCAATTAGCTCCAAAGCTTTATGGGACTCCGTTTTGCTGATCGCAACACAGGCTGCTACGGCTCCTTCTTCAACAAGGCAACGCACTCGTTTCTCCACATACTCATCAGTGTCCTTTGGATGGACCTCAGGTACGTGGTGNACAGGCAAGCAAATCACGCCGTGCACTTTGCTAAGCCTAAAGCTAACACAATTTGCCCTGTGGCAAAAATCGTAACCGTACCTGGGCTAGTTTGACTAATTCCTCTTCCACCTGGGGTTTCTCATAAGAATTCGTGAGATTCACATAAATGGTAGCCAAAGTGTATCTGAAAGAAACTTTTAGCTTCATGTCAAAAGGGCTATGAAGCAGTACAAGGTAAAAAGACTTACACACAAAGAGCACCAGCGGATTGAGCTAGGCAAAACAGAGCTCGAAGCAGTAGCGAGTCTTCGACAATCCATTCCTTCACGTCAGCATCAAGAGACAAATAGGAAAGACCCTCACAGGCAAATCGCCTAACATCTGTACTGTACTTTTCGTAATCCAACAGGAATTTCTTGCATGTGTGGGCAAGTTTCAGGGATGCTCCTTCTTTCATGGTCGCACGTGAGGTATCATCACCACCAGCGGCAGCACATTTGCAAAGACCCTAAAATCGCAACAATGGCTCACCTTCGCGACTATAGGGTGGGCAACTGAGTAATTAATTCAATAGTTACCTAAAAAATGAAATATTTACTAATTTAATATTGCCACTAACTACTTAGGCACACAATCTATGAATTTAATTCACTCTGAAAATAGGTAGTCGTTGAGGTAAATGTTGAAGAAGGACGCAATTATTTAGATGTCAACCTACTCATTCGACATGNGAAAAAAATCTGTAACACTAAAACGAATCCAAAATATAAATCCTATTATTGTAAAGTAAGCCCATATTCATCAAGACAATCTATAATAAATTCTTGCTCACGAAGGAAAATTCACTAGAATTTTAAAAACTCACCACTAAGGCTCGAACTTTAACATTCTCATCTTCTGAATCATACAACTTTCTCAGAATCGGAAGGCCAACCTTAACAAAACGATGTTAAGTATAAAAGCTCGATGATTAAAGATAAAAGATTGTTTTCATAAATTACTATCACTAACCTTGAGAATAGAAGTAGCTCGTTCGTGCTTGACCACGGTCATCACGATTAACTCAGCAGCAATACTCTAGACAACAAGGAAATTATACCAGTTTGAATATCGAGTAATAAAATGGTCACAGACCTGCATGAGGTGATTATTGGATGCGGCCATTTGAAGCATTACAGCAGTTACTTGGTCATTTGTGATGAGATTCACACCAATATCAACAGGACCCTTGAAAAACAAACCGATTTTTAATAGTAATTTTTTGAAAGCTAGAAAAACGATTACCTGTAGCATCGTTATCAAAAATGCTGCAAGTTTTATACGATATTTATGACCTTCCGGATCATCGCTGGCACGTGCCATTAGGTTACTATAAAATGTGGAATATTTATGAAACAATGACTGACTAAATATTTATACTTACTTGAAAAACAGGTCCACCTTCTCCTTGTACATAACCCTTTTTGTATCGAACACCTGAATAGCTAGGAATCAGAGGGTACGATTCTTGAAATACCAGACATCAAAAAGAAAACAATTAAGTTTACTAGTACCAACCATATCCTCATCGAGTCGCTGCAGGCAAATTGCTACATGTTGTCGAGTTTCGTGGGATACCGGATAATCGCATTGTTCGGGAATCTGCGATGCCACGTCCAAGAGGGATAACAGACCTTAAACTAACTTGTCAGTACAAGTACCTGTGAAGAGTTGCATTTGGAGAACAAACCTTGATCCTCCACGAATTTCCATGACCATCCTCTTGGAATCCCACCATCCATATGCATTAAATTTTTCAGCAACAAGTCAATGACCATCTCTCGTACCGGAAAATCAACAAACTATTTTCCCGTAAACTAACCAAATATGTAGAAAAACTTACGATTGCTGTCACAGTTTTATCCTTTAACATACTCTGTAACTCCAAAATGACACGAATAATCCACAGTTTGTTGGCTGAAAAAAAAACATCAACACGAATGATGAGCCATTGATTATCAAAAAACAATTAATCGTAGGATACCAAACGAATAAATTACAATCCTAGGAAGAAGATGGAAGGATCTGAAAGGGAGCTTTTCCAGTTACAGCCCTATTCATTTGCAAAACTTGGAACAAGTCGATATGCATGCAAATAACACCTCTCATTGATTGGTTTCCCTGAAGATCAATGACTGGCACTAGTGTATGCCATGGAACGAAAGTAAGCTAGAAAAGGAAAATACTCTCAAAATTTGGAAGCCTTTTGAAAATGCAAATGTTCTGACCCTACCTTCGGCAACTTCCGGATCAGGTTTTATGTCTTTTGTACGGTCCATTTTCACAAGAGCATTGAATATCCTTTGAATAATTAATCCAGCTGCATCCACATATTCCTTCGCATCCCTAGCACACATCAGACGACAAACACGTCGTGCCGAACGTAGACCGTCATCATCGTGCATGGATAGGAAAAACAAGGCCTGGAAAAGAAAAGCCACAGCTGTCAAACCCTCTAAACACAAAGATTCTAAAGCATCCAGAGGTTTAGATCTGGCGAAACCTACTGAGACAAGAAGGTAATCTGAATCCCTACATAAACCACCTACCCTGCCATGATTCTTGATCAGTTCGTCGACAATTCGGATGGCGCAAACCGATATTTCCAATGGTTCATTGTTATCTTCAGCAACCGCTAACAGAGCTGGCACGCCCTTTCCCTTAAATACATCGGAATGAGCATGAAATTACAGCTTGAAATCCAACCACCATGCTTTATGAAACACAAAGGTGATGGACGCATCGAGGCAACTAACCACTTGCCAAATCCTTGCAGCACCAGCTTCAGTTTCTCTGGCAAGGACAAGAAGATTGTTGAATGCCTAGAACTCAAATGACAAATGAAAAAATCCGATTTTACAAATCAATGGTTCTCGCGTACCTGCACTTTTTGTTCTTTGTCCTTGGCAGAACCTTGGAATGCCAGCCTGCTCATGTCGTTTACTTTGTTATCCATACTTGTAGCTTTCTTCACCTTCTCGTTATTTGCAATGACGAGCCGTTGAAGCAGTTCAGAGATAGATCTGAAGGCGTGTAGAAATAAAGTTGGAAGTTAGAAAAGAGAAAAAAAACTTACTTGTCTTTGGGACTCAATCGCAGAGCCTCCTTGGCATCTTTGAATGCTGCAGCTACATTGTCGAGGTGTTCACGAGCGAGAGCTCGTCGGTACAGAGCTTTTACGTCAGCGCCATCATACTCAATAGCTAAATAAAACGATAAAATAATAAAAAATATCAATGTAAAATAAATATCTCGAAAACATACTGGAAAAGTTAAATTTTGACCGAGCCACCCTTGTAACGGATCCCTCACAAATGATTGGTGGAAAACTACATACTTGACGTCAAATAATACAATATACATGTAAAGTTTGGGTGGAGCTTAACCACCAAACCAAGCCTTTTGCGGCTTCGAACAGGGGCGTGATTGGCTGACGCCAACAACCATCCAATCACCGCAGAGCCGGCTCACAAACCTATCAACTGGGGATATAGTCTCACCATTCCTAACATCTACATTTGATGAACTGTTGCTCACTCAAATCAATGCTACTCAAATCGATTATGTAGAACAAAAAAGCTTCCGTTTGGCATAAAAAGACTAGGAAACTTACTTTACAACAACTCAAAATTTTGAACCTTGAAAGAGATTACGTAAAAAAGGGGGACAACTTCAAAAAGATCTTATCAAAGCAGACCTTTTGTCGCATCACTTTCGGCCCCTTCAAAATCATCCTGTTTCAATCTCGACAATGAACGATTTCTGTAAAGTGCAGCTCGAAGTTCTTTATCGCCCTCATTAGTAAGTTGAAGTGCTTCTGTGTAACTGAAACGATTTACTGAATTGAAATTTCGAAAAAAGTGGAGGTATTCCACCAGTTTGAGAGTGAATATTAAAAACTACTTACTAGTCATTAGCTTCGGCGTATTCTCCCCGTTTCACAGCATCGTTTCCCGCGTCTTTGAGCGATTCGGCAGATTCGACCTGCTCGACCATCGGCTATGAAACGAACGCAACATTGCACAAAACGCTCCTTATTGGGTGGACTCGAACAAAATTCGAAATTCCATTGTTACTTTATAGTACTTGTTATCGTTAAATAGTTGTAAAGTCCCACAATGCCCTTCATTCTATGACACAGAGTTATTTCAGCGGTTATTTTACAATAACTGTCAAGATTTGATCGCTAAGTGAANTTCCAGCCTTGTCACTGCTACTTGTTACTACTTCTTTTTACTCTTCGAAACCTCAAGGCTCTATCTGTTTTACAAATGTTGGATACGACAAAAATATGAGCTATAGGCTGCCTACATCGGTAACAGAGCTCTTCTAAACCAAAGTTTATAAAGTAAGGGTACAAGTAATTGGCTCAGTTATATCAAAACAGTTGATTACTCATACATTCGAGTATTACCACTATTATAAGGTGTATTTAGCGCTACAGTTTACAGATTTATTGAATTAAATGGTTTTCCACTTTTGGGGAGGCGTGTACTACTGGGATACTACAAGTAGTATAAATGCTTAATTTTACTTGAGAAACAATAATTGAAAAAGAAGTAAAAGGTGTGAATGTCGTAAATACGGACAAGATCCGCTCAGCTGAACGGATCGACTGGAGTGGACGAGAAGTTTCGGCGAGCACACAAGCATTGTAATAGCACACAGTGGGATCCGGTTGGCTTTGCGCTCTCCAGCGTCTACATATACCCTCAAAGATTGAATAAATCCACTCGGGACCATACCAATACCAGTTCCATTTCATGTGAAACAGCTTAATTTTGTAGGCAAGAGTTTCAACTTTCCTTCCTAACCCAGTCCGTTGCTTCATCAGGGAAAAAACGCGAGAGAAATCGCCTTACCGAAGCCTGTGAGAATCCAACCTTCTCTCACAAACCCCGCCCATCTCCTAATCTCGGTCACTTTAGGTTTATGAAAGCAGTATAACTGCATAGTAAATTACACTAGCCACTAAGTTGTTTCCAGTTTTGCCACAACATATGGAACCTCTTTCCAGAAACAGCTGCTCGGTCCGCGCGGCCCGAAGTGACCGCTCTCCACCAGCCGGTCAACCTCACCCCGCGGACTATTTATTGTCTGCTAGCGGCGCAACAATGGGTTCCAGTAGAAAAACTGACAGAAATGTCTTGTTGTGTGATTATGGCTAAACACATGTTGGGCTTGAGAAATCATTAAAAGCCTCATGTGCCATAGGACTAACTTCGTTGAAGAAATGAAAAATCATTTTGAGAGGCCTTGGTAAGCGGGAGAAAGCAGGAAGCCCGTTCTGCGTAAGTATTTATGTAACTACTATGCAATATGAAGCTTCTGCTACAGGATGCATCGGGGTCAAGATTAGGAGAAGGGCGGGGTTTGTGAGAGAAGGCGGGATTTTCACAGATCTTGTAAGTGGGAGAAAGCAGGACGTCCGTTGTGGTGCACCTATTCATGCAGCTATTGTGCAGTAAAACGGAAGTTTCTGCTACTAGAAGCACCGGTTGTGGCCAAGGCTAGGAGATGGGCGGGGTTCGCGAGAGAATGTTGGATTTTCACAAGCCTTGGTAAGAAGGAGAAAGCAGGAAGCCCGTTGGAGTGTAACTATTTATGCAGATATTGTGCACTAAAAAGTCTGCTACTGGAAGCCACGGATAGAGCCAAGATTAGAAGGTGGGCGGGGTTTGTGAGAGGGGGTTGGATTTTTCCAAAAGTAACTTTTGCTCCAACACATTTTTGTCGTGGAAATAGACTTTGATAACAGAATTTACAAAATTTTCTGCAGAATTCATGGCAAACTTTCTTGCCATGAATGGTTCTTTTCATTTTATGTGAAGTTGAGACATTTTTGATCAGTTCGGACATCATTATATTTTAAAATAAGGCCACCTTGGCGTAAACCTTTGATGGTACCGAAGCTTTTGTTCATAAAACTGGTTTTATCCATCGAAATACTCATATCCTCATATCTGACCCTGATCGGTAATGCATGGGCAGACTCCGACGACATTGCCGTAACTACCAACGCAATAGCAATAAACCACCATAACGACATACTAAAATGACCAATGCAGGGGACATTAATGAATAGAAACCAAAGATAATACGATACCGCAGAGTACTGTGGCCACTCATAATGGACCACCCGGTGAAAATAGGAATTCATGGAATTCATTAGGAAATCACTAAATCCCCTCTCAATCGAGCAATTCTACTAGCAACCACTTAAGGTACTCCAGAAACTTACAAGACCATGACCTGACATGGAAGAGAATGAGTTTTGCAGTAAAAGATGTTAAAAAGAAAGTTAGAACTTTGAGAGGTATCACAGTAACAGGTCAGGGACACCTTAGAGTGAAGGACTTGGCCGTCGGATGGAAGTGCTGAAACTGGTGAGTCAAGAAGTAAGGCTATGCAGTTATCCTCTCCAAAGCTACTAATTAAGCATTGGTAAGCGTGCAAAAGTGTTTTCTTATGGGAGGTCTCCTAGACCTGCTCTTTGACTTCAGCTGCCGGCTTTGTAAATCATAGGCTTAAACTGAAGAGCACAGTAAATATGGAGGAAATCATTGAGACTGACAGTTCTTCCAGCTGGTAGGGAATCGATTTAAAAGATCATGGCTTGTTATTGAATGTAGAAGTACTAAATGGTGAGACGGGAAGAGAAGTGACTGGTGTGAAGTGTTTTGATCACTACATTTAATCTTTTTTTATAATTTAATGTTGATTTCTAGCTACACAAACAATATGGTCGGAGGATACCGATGAAAAGACCATTGTATTTTGGATCTACTCTACTTCTTTTCAGGTTCAAGAACGCCTTCGAACGGGTTGTTAGTGAGACATTGCGAAATTCCTACTATTTCCATATAAGTCCCCTACCAGTCATCGACCCCGGGTGTGGTGCAGTAGGAACGAAATTGTCGCGTCGCGGTGAGAGGGACGTCGCGCGCGAAGAAAGGTAGCAGGATGCAGCAATAGGTGAGAAATACAAGAACAAAAGTACTAATGGTAGAATTATGCGTAAAATAATGATCGCATATCGATTGAGCAGTATGAAGAACGCTAGAGCTGCAATAACGGCGAATGAGTGGTCCGCGACAGCCGCGTGCGGCGAATCGATTACCCAAAATCGTTCCTAACGCCCGTCTCCCATCGACCCTACTCATTATTGTAAAAGCTCGTTTGCTGTCGAGGCGTCCGAACCATGGCAGCGATAAACGGAACCTCTAGCTATTTCGGTAAATAAGTCATTATCCCATTTTTAAAGGTAATACGCTTATAAAACTGAGCCCAGCATTCTCAATCTGAAAGAACCTTACAGTTGATGATAGCTGTAAGTTGGATAGTGAGCCATGAGCATTTCTCAGTCCCCCCAGTCCCTCTATTATTACTGAGTTTTAGCTATAAACAGAAATAATCTCTGATAAGGGGACCCAATCTTTAAATCCTAGAGCGCTATATGGTTCCCAGTCGAACAATGTTAGACTCACTTTTGTAAATAAAAAATCGATTTTCTAATGAATCTTCGTTGTAAAACAAATGACTCCCTCATTCAGACAATCTTGGCATGCTCTTGAATACAAAACAGAGCTTTCCTTAGAATTTAGATTTACTTCGCATTCCCTCGAATAGAATAGTGTAGATTTTTTAGGAAAAATTGGACTTCCATTTTCCTCATTACTGGTAAGGGTTCCCCGTCGATTTGCAATAAATGTACGCCATCACAACAAAGAATCTAATGAGGTACTCTTGGTCGACAAGAGACCATCTGGGGTTTCAATTCAACACGCTCGCTCAGCCATCATATCTATTAGCTGTCCAAACGATCTTTAGCCTGAAATCGTGCTGCGATACGCACATAGATACGTTTGAGTCAAGCAAAACATACATCCTAACACCTTCAGCTTTGCTATTATTATGTTGGCCTATAAGGAACCACGTGTGACCTTTTTGAGCACCCATTTATCTTGAAAATGTTCGAAAACTGTGTCCAAACTAAGTATGAATTTTGTGATTGGTTATCTGACCTAATTGACCAATCACGAGCACTTCACGCACACACCTCTTTGTCAATCAACCCAGGCGTTACAAAAAAATAGGTTCATTGAATTGCATGAGAATAATAAAAAACTTGAGCGGATCGTGATTCGAGTGAAAGATGTTTCGTTCACAATTTTTATAAAACATCTTTATCCAAAGTCATCACATGGCATAACTACACAATCAAACGAGACAACAACCAGGAAAAAGAAAGTCGAATGGAAAAAAAATGAAGAAAAAGAAAATCGTAACCTCTGCAATGCGCTTCTAACGTCGAGCAACAAATATTACTCATCATCGATACATAAACGAATCTCATTAGATGATGAAATACAAGACAACAAGTTTGTAATATTACAAAATAATATGGAATAATCAATAAATGACAGATGGGACAAACTGGGAGGGATTGCGAAGAGTGTCTTGAAAAGTGAATATGGAAATTCATACGACATAATTCAATGCTGACCGATTGATCACGTAAAGTAGATGTCGCCACTTCAGTATTGCTATACTACTGTAACATCTACAGTAAAAGTTAGAGAGAGAGAGATTATTATGCAAATCCTGAAACGGTTGGTATATAGAACGGATACAGCGCTCATACCGTCCACAAGTGGGTCTCGAACAGAAGTTCAAGGGGCTTGTACCGTCTTCAGCGATGACGCCGCGCCCCCGTCGCGGTAGGACCACCAAGCTAACGCTTGCTTTGAACTATCCAACATTTCCGCTTACTTTACCCGAATACTGTTTTGCATTTCGCGTTATTGCTTTTAGTTCACCAGCAGAACGTCTTTTTCGAATCACAACGACTTCCTGCGTAACACAACCCATTGGGACTAATTGCGTAGTAAGGCAACTTCAGATCAGGAATCATTTCTCGTCTACCTTTACCTACTTCCTACCGATTTTGTATGCCTGAAATGGTTATACGCTGTTCCACCGCTTTAATACCGTCTATAGCTAGGAGAAAGTGTCCGACTATTTTTGTTTTGGGACAAATGGCACTGTATTTTGCAATATGTAGCAATTTATCCCAGGACCAAGTAGTACTTCATAGTAGTATGGTTATATCCCCATCCGCACGACGTTTTACACCTGTTCCTCCATAAATGCTGAGAGGAAACGATGGTTTCGATAGCACGCATCAGTTAAAAAAAATGAAATGGGTGAAAAAAATTTGAAGAAAATCATCTACAAGTGAACAATTAGGACATAATCAAGGGAACCTGGACTCATTTTACGTCGGCAGTAAGTCAGTTGTCATAATATTAAAAAATTAAAACAAAGTTAATGAAAAAATAGTAGTACATATGTTGCACACCATACTGGCACGTAATTTAGGAGAGGAGGAGATTGTAAGAAGATGAATAAGAAGATGATGATGATGATGAAGAAGAAGAAGATAATGATGAGAAAAAGGAAAGAAGATACGATCAACAATGAAACGATCAACGTAAGTATACAAGGTCATGTGCATTGTGTCTGTACCAGAATGAATATGAATGAATGATATGACATATGCTGCTGCTGCTGCTGCTGCTTCTTCTGCTAAAGATGAATAGAACTTATGAATAGAGAGCTCAGAACTATGCGTAGAATTCCTTTGTGGACGCTTTTGTATAGGCGTAGCCAGAATATGGACGTGGTTTGGGCTCTTCTAACGCATATGAGCCTTCATCCTTTTTTCGCATTCGATACACGATAAACATCACTAACAGTATGGCCGTTAATAGGCCGACAACTGTACCACCAACGATAGCTGAAAATAAAAAGAATTACAAGGAATAATAGTAAAATAAAAACAGAATAAAATCTCTGGTTCATTAATTCCATTTGAGGGATGCGCCCGCATTCGGGAGACGGGCACTAGGAACGGTTTTGTGTAATCGATCAGCCGCACGCGGCTGTCGCGGACTATTTGCCTCGTGATAACATTTCTAGCGCTCTTCTTACAGCTCAAACGCTATGCGATTATTACTTTAGGCATGATTCTCCTGTTAGTTCTTTTGTACCTGAATTTCGGGAGACGGGCGTTAGGAACGATTTTGGGTAATCGATTNATCATTATTTTATGCATGATTCTACTATTAGTACTTTTGTTCTTGTATTTCTTACCTACTGCTGCATCCTGCTACATTCCTTCGCGCGCGACGCCCCTCTCACCGCGACGCGACCATTTCGTTCCTAACGCACCACACCCCTGAATTTCTTACTTGCTGCTGCATTCTGCTACATTCATTTGCGCGCGGCGTCTCTCTCGTACGCGGCAATTTCGTTCATACTACACCACAACCCTAGGAACACCATGTAAAACATAGTGGTCTACCAGTAAAACTTCAAGGTAGTTTTAAGCAGGCTCCAATAGAAAAAGAGAAAAGAGGCTTTAGAATTGAGGGATCCCTGCAAAATTACGCTGCGCATTCGTCTCTATCATTCCAACCTTGGCAACGACTGAATAGAGTCGAAGTAATAGAAGGGTGTTCAAGAGGTAATTATGCTGTGTGCGTGTCGAGTGATCGGTGCCTCTCAATTAATGCATTACCGTAGTTTTGTATGGATTCATGAGGACAATGACTTCCGCAGAATCTTGAGAGTGTAATCAAGGCCGATTTAGGCCTGGTAAACTACTAGTTGTCGGACCAGTTCCTTCGGACCATCTACTGCACTTTAACATCTCGTCTTCTGATGTGAAAAGAGATGACATACTGACTAAAAACGCCTATGGACTCGTGAAACTTTGGGTTAGGCACTCCCACTCCTTGGAGTTTCACTGCAAATGCAACTTCTACTGTTGTAGCAAACTTGTCCTCATTGTGAACCATATGACCCACCCCAAACCTATTCATTGTTCAGTCGTTAACATGATCTGGATCATAATAATGTACCACAAGACATTGGTCCGCAATCAGACCGGCCACGACATGGCACTGCACGGTTACTTTCTGAACTCTTCTCCACGGAGTAAGAAGCCAACAAGTATAATCAGGTCCTAAACAGCTTCAAGCCTCTCAGGCAGGTGTTCTACTACTTAATCTGCTATCAAGGGATTCGGATCCTACGAGAGAATTTGATCCCAATGATTAAGCCAGACAAGGAAACTCGTACCCACTGCATTGTTCATTGTTCAGAATGATCTACAACAACTAATCAATAACCAATTCTGTGAAACACAGGGCTGAAATGCTTTTCTTCCTGACAACCAATCCAAACCATGTACACATTTTCCAGCTAATCGAGCACTAGACATTTTTCTTGCCTGGCTTATGGGAAACCCTAATGTATTCCTGCTCCAAATGGCGAAGAAATTTGAGAGGCTTTTTTGTATGACTTAAAATATATAATACCAAGACAGTGAAACGCTTATTTTTGCCAATAATGTGAGGTAAAGAATAAGTTTTACTGGTAGACAGTAGTCATATTTTTACTTGAAACACGCCATGCACTCAGTTAGCATCCATAACGTTAAAGGCCTTTGTTGCTGCTTACACAAAATCCTTCAGGTCTATTCGTAGATTAAACGTAATGATTGATCTTTACAGATATGTTTAATAACAATCAATCAAATTATGATGAATGAAAGGCTGGCGGACAGCTTGTAGGGTATTCGTTCCGAACAGCGCCTACACCAACTGCGCTACCTCTGACTTTGCATTACACCTTATAAAAACAATATTTCAACCAGTTGGCCCCATTCCAAGGAACCATTTGAATGGTCAAAGGAAAAATAAACCCTTGCCATTTCGAATCGACATAAAAACAATCGTTGAGAGCAGGAAAAGTGTTTGCTCAAAGGCTCATTGATAAGAAAAACCGTCTCAGGCCGGTGAATGACCATCAATACCTGATCCCCTAGTACAACAACACCATCGACAAAATATTTTTTTATTAATTTTTTTTNTTTTTTTTGATGTTTTTTTGCTTTCTGACATTACACATGAGGTACCTCATATAATAAATAAATAAATAAATATTTCGCAGGTTTGTAGGATCCATCGGATCTCCCTCATCTCTAATTGACACCTTTGTGTTTTTGAGGTCAGGGAGCACATCTCCAGATGGTGGTTAGGGGATTAGCCGCCCATCAAAAGCCACTATACACTTGTATCAGAAAGCAGATGGATTTATTAGACGTGCTCCCTGTTCCCCCTGTACCCTGTCTATTTCGGACAGAATGTGATAAAAGCTGGGGGTTGTCTAAAATGGCCCTGTCCCTTTCTTCCCTTCCTTCGGCCGTTCCCCGTCCCTCTCCCTTCAATAACTAAGCATCTCTGCGTCCCCGAAAAATTCCATCGCAAAAATTTCAAAAATTGGCAAAATTGGCAGCCGAGAACCACTGTGGATGCAGAATAATAATTGGGTCGATCACCGAAAGTCATGAGATCAACCTCCACGCGTTTCAACCAAAATTCCAATTAATTCCAATCGATTGCAGATTTATTAGGCACGGCTCACTCATATCAGTTGAAGTTTACATTTTTGATTCCCTAGACCTTGAATTTGTCCCTGTCCCTTCAAGATTATTCCGTAGAGAGAGGCCAATGGAGCAGAAGCTCGCTTATTGTCCGCTCAATTTACGCCAACGATGTAATAGCGTAACCTAATATGATCATACTTGTGGCGACCCCATCCCACCTCCTTCCTTTTGCGCCATACTCTCATCACCACCCTTTCATATATTCGAATTGTTTCAAAAATAAAAGGTATTGAACTCAATCTACAGAAGGAGCCCAGAAAGAAGAAATCATCCAGGACAACAACTCCCAATTACTCCCAAGCACTTTAATTAAATAAATGTGAACACGATGAGGTTTATCCCTTCAAACTTCAGAAAAATCTCCTCCCCCAGCTCTGAACCCCTCCCTGCTTTCAACCGCAGACTTTCATGGACCACCCAAATACTATTATGAGCCAACGGTTCGGTGCCAGTCCACTCTTTAAACAAAACGTTCCTTGGAGCTTGTGAAACTCATTTTTCATTCCTAATGGGACAGAGCAAAGAGTTATAAATTATAAAAATGAAAGGGGGAAGAATGGTTCAGCTTTTTGGCTGACCATTGTTTTTCTCCCATGGAACGAACCTTTACTTTATGATCAGATGGTTGTTGTCCCATCGCCCATGACCATGATTACTCAGATGAATTCAAATCAAGAACTAGATTATGGTGTGTTTATTGAATATTTCAAAGGCCCATTGGAGAAACGTGCAAATCGGAAAAAGTGTGCGAACTTTGGCCTCACTGCTAGATTTTTCTGCCTCATCTGGCCAAAATCCATGTAAACTCTGGCTGTGTGGAATTGCAAAGCTGTTTCAGACATTGAAATTTGATCCCACGATGGAACACATAAAACAAAAAGGTTTGGACCAGTTAATATTTCCATGTTTGCTTATTCTATTGAATTCTTTGATATTTGTTCTCGGTTGGTTACCCAAGTTTTGGGTGCGCTTCCGACTTGAGTGATGTGAGAAAGCCGTAGAAAGCATCTTCGAATGAATAATTTCCTGCTCCTCAGATCCACCCCGACACCACATCCTACGTCTTTGCTTGGCCTTTGGAATTCCAGGACCGGGTTTCAGTCTTTAGCCTAGGGAAGATGATTTTCAGCTACAGCTACTACTTTCAAGTGATGGCATTGAATTGAAGAGAAGTTATCAAGCAGACAGACCTCCAGGACTTCCTCACTAACAATTTCTGAGACGTTTTGAGAGTTCCCACTCAATGCTTCCTAAACTGAGGATAGTGATCCATCCGCGAGATAACTTTTCGTGCTTTTCTCAAAACCTCAGGACCCATTCTACTTCAACTAAACAAGCTACCCTTACTTGTAAATGCAGTTTACGACTGTCCAGTAGAGGGAAACACCTTAGTTTCTACATCGGCAGTCCCTAGCAGAAGAATGTCGAGCGATTGTCCGTACTGATGATTTTATGACTCAACAGATTCCGAACGCAATCAATCATGACCTTTTATCGTAGAGCTATTAGCCCTACTTCTCCCTCTTACAATTACTACAACAATTATTCTTTTTCGTATTCTATTACTCCAGCTTTTTGGTCGAACCCCGATACTTCCTTCGTAACGTCCACCGATCGAAACATTCACATCCCCTCTGCGCCTTCGTAGTAATTCCCATTGGCGCCCCTCTGCTACCCATCGAGCCAAGATCACAGCCTAGTTCCTCTCTGGTCAGATGGGTTTCCTGGATTCTAATTACGGCCTAGTCACTCCATTCCCCTATCCACCACCCATCAGGCTTCGTTTCGTCGTCCCCAAACAAAACGACCCTTTTTACAAAATGGACGACAATGACGGCAACGTACACCACAGGGGGCTACTGCCTTTCCCCCAGCAACCATCTGCCCTCCTTAAGCAAATAGCCTGGCCGGCATATCAATCACTCGACCAGAATGCAAATATCACCTCGCCCACTAGAACGCGACCCCTCTTCTCTACAGAAGTGTGCTGCGGATGCTTCTGAGAGAGAGAGAGAAAAATTCCCGTGCCAGGACCAACAGAGCACTTAATCAAACAAAATTAAACATGCACCGCCGAACATGTTAACACAACTCCATCGTGCACCAAGTCATCTACGTAGTCATCACATTCACTTGAAATCATCTCTGCGAAGAATCATCGCCGTCATCATGCACAGTTTATAATAGATGACCTGATAAGATTAACGGTATGGCCGAAAATGGGTACGATGACGGTAGGGGGGTGGGACATACATCGAATCGAAACATAATGACTATCGACCACAGTCATCACACACACACATCTACGCAATTTATAATTACCCCATTTTATAATTAGCACTCTTCGAGGTGGTGCACGACGACGGCTAAAGAGACATTGTGCACCTCGGTTAGGCGGATTAGGCAGGGTCACCGAGAACGGGCCCATACATAAATAACACACACATCCTCAAACAATAGGCTTCCAAAGCTTACTAGTCACCACGGTATCGATTAGTTATGCAGGAACACAAAAGTAACATTTTGAAAGCATCTTTTCATAGTGTATTGGTTTTCATTGGCTTTCAAGGGA